GTGCTTATCCAAGGAATTGTGATCTTGATAATAAGACGTTATATCACTGGGATTCAACAAAGACATTAATGCCAATAAAAATGGTGATTATTGTTAGTCTAATATCGTAGTATATTACATCTTTTAGAAATCTATATCACCTAGAGAATTAATGTCACATGACAGGATTCTATCAGTCACTGGTCTATTTATTGGGCATTAGAAGGGAAATACCACTCGGCAATTTAATTCACGTGATGACACCCGTTAATAGTCTGTTGATGGGCAATACCACCCGACAATTTAATTCACGTGATGAAGTCTTCACCTTATAAAAGGGGAATACACCCGACAATTTAATTCACGTGATGAAGTCTTCACCTTATAAAAGGGGAATACACCCGACAATCTAATTCACGTGATGAAGTCTTCATCTTATAAAAGGGGAATACACCCGACAATCTAATTCACGTGATGAAGTCTTCACCTTATAAAAGGGAAATACACCCGACAATCTAATTCACGTGATGAAGTCTTCACCTCATATCATGCCTCTCTTTTATAACGAGTAATCACATCAGGTCAATGACCTCTGAATCAAAGCAAATATATGGATGGCGTCAGTCAATTATAAAACATCTATTTTCAGATTGTTTGATCGTGTGGGACTTGTTAGGCAGGTTTTTACAACCTAGTAAACCAGTAGGATCTTAAAAGGCAGATACAGAAAACGATTCATTAAAAATGATATCGCACAGTGATGCTTATTGGAAATAAAATAGATGCATTTTTAACACTTTCATCATAAGAATAGAAAGAGGAAACAGGGAATGTGTCAAAGCGACAACAACCCGACCAAAGAGCAGAAAACAGCAGAAGGCCACCAATGGGTCTCCAACGCAGCGAGAAAATCTCGCACCCGGAGGTGGGCTTCAGCTGGCCACTAAATAGTGTATACTAGTTCAGCGAAATGGACGCCACACTAAACTCTGAAACATACAAATGAACCAAAAAAAAAAAAAAAAAAAATACAAAACTAACAAAGGCTAGATGTTCCTGACTTGGGACAGGCGCAAAAATGCGGCGGGGTTAAACATGTTTTGTGAGATTTCAACCCTCCCCCTAAACCTCTAGCCAATGTGGAATTAACAAACACACAGCCATACGCACATTAAAACTCAGTTTAAAAGAGGTCCGAGTCCGATATAAGAATAGGTAACAAGATTGCATGGTTTGACTTTACACATACATGGCGAAGAGTAAGAAACTCGAGATATTTAAGTATTTCAACATCTTTTGCAAATAATTATATTTATTCTATTTAAAAAAGGAAAGTTGGGATACACGTCAATGAGACAGCAACCCAATTAAACAAAAACAAAACAAAAAAGACATCTTGATGTAAAACAATAGACAATTGCCTATAAAGAATATTTTAGTGTCAACTTCTAGGAGTCTAGATAGGTTTAGAATACATTTTAACAGATGATATTTACATCGAATATCATAATTTAAACTTGTGTGTGGAATGTCTTTTTATGAAATTTCAGCTTGTAGAAATACAAACAATCCGAATATAAATCTTTTCATTTTTTTATTTAACATTTTTTATTGGGTTCGTATTGCTTGGTTTTTAGATTTTTTTTGTGTAGTGTTTTATTGGCTGTTGATTGTCATTTCGTCGTTTTTCTTTGTATCTGTAGAAAAAAACTGTAACAACCAAACCATAAAATCCCCAGCACCACGCAATGGAAAAAAAGAGGCAGAAATGGACCAATCTTTCGCCCTAAATAATTTTGTTGAGTGATAATTTCTGAGAAGAGATTGGTATTAAAGCATCCACTCTTAATGAGGAAAAACACTATCTTCTACATGCTGAATAAAATTCATAAACTGTTGGAAAATCGAAGTAAACCAATTGTTTGTATCGTCCGTTGTCCAAAAGGAGAATGTTAAGTTTACTCAAGGACGTATATTATGTTAGTTATACGTCCTTGATTTACTATATGAATTAATTATACTTATCATGCGTGGCATTAACAAAGTTGACAATTTAGTTCTGGTTGCCGGTAAAATCCTCACTATGGATATCGCTGCTAACTGTATAAGCATCACCAACACCAGTGAATGATGTTATCCGGAATGTATAAATACAGTCACGTCCGGTAATAGGGACGACGTTTGATCTGTCACACCTTTGCGCCTTGTAGGAATGCCACGGTCTAAACACATAAATGACCCCTTGCAATACATGTTTGAGGGGTCCGTATGTGACTTTTTGCAGGGCAAAATTTCTGCTCCTACCTAACTAACCCTTTTTTCCGATGGATTCCAAATCTTGTCCAGTTCGATTCCCTTTGCAGAATGTACCTATTATTGGCAAATCTGTTCTATATTTGGGGAAAAACATTTTTTTTAACTCAATTTAAGATCTTATATGCAACAGATAATGACTTGAGAACCAAGACATTTCGTCATCTCAGAATGGACTTGGTTAATAGCCTTTATGGTTGAGGGTAATCTGTACGAGATTTTGTATTCGGGAACTTTTTATAATTTTAAGTTCTGCGAAATTATATGACAATTTAACGGACGTACAGCAGATGACAAGACAGTGATTGTAAGACCTCGCATTGACCTGAAAAAAAAAACAACGCAAAAAAAAACAATATTGGTTTTTCTATCGAAGAAAAAGTTTCACTGTTATCAACTGCTTGTACAATTGTTTTTCTTCTCTAAAATTTACCACTTAAGTGGTACTTATTTTCACTAATACACACCTTTCACCAACTTAATTGCAAAATTTTACAACCTTTGAATTGTTATTTCTACTAAGATTGTTAACTGTAGACCCAATTTACTAGTCCCCCTTCTCGTTTGGCTGTGTGGGATGTATAAATACTCAGTTCCGTCCGATCGGAATGGAGACCCTTTATTACAACATAGTGCCAGTTGAAATTCCCACCACATGTAGCTTATATTCTGGTTCTAAATATGCATGAAGAGATTGTCATCAGAAGTAAAAGTTACGAATTAGTATATGCATTATTGTACCAGTATTCCTATTTCTAGAAAGTTTCGTTATTTTCAACTTGTGCAATCCAGAAACTATCAAAATATTAAGTAAACGTTAATAATAATAAGATTCGTTTTTCACCGGGAAATTCAAAAGATTCATTCGTTTTGACAAGGATTTGTATGTAAATCCTGGGACTATAATAGTCCAGATAAATCCTTGGATTTGAGAATATCCAGATCAAATTTAAAAAAAAAAAGCAAATTTAATGTGAAAAAAAATCACATTTTCGCCGCATTTTACGTACTTTTGATACAATTTTAGACCAATTTCTCAATGATTTTTAATTGACGGTATCTATGGAAATGTAAATTCTACATAAATGTTTATTTTCTCGATATTCAGATACAATTCAACGAGTTTAAAACACATACAAAATTTCGTAAAAATCAGATGTGTCGCCCAATTTGACGTAAGAAGCAGTGATACTTTCAAAAGTCGTCAGTAGTATCCATCAAATAAACAGCTTAATTATGACTCAAGGGAAAAAATGAAGAAAATTCACAATTTACACAAACGAAGGACAAATAAAGGCCATAAAACCTGCCAGACAGAGATGCAGACCTTGCAACTACCCCATATTCTAAATATAGATAACCTATTACTCATAATAAGTGAGTATTTAATATGACAAAAATGTAATTTTTAGGCGAGTAATTATTAGAATATGAAGTTCTGTCATTGGGACTATATAAATGACAGCATTTTTTTGTGAATTTATTACGACTACTGGTCTATTACAAACACTTGATATAGTTATAGTTGTGTTAATAGAAAAACAAACTGGGATATGGGGTATCCATCCATGACTTAAAAATCAGTAAAAGACACACAAAAAGCAAAGGAACAGCGCTTTTATTTCTGTTTTTCATTTATTGTTTATATATGTTACTATTTAACTGTTGTTTTCATTTTAAATAGTGAACTTGATAAATGTACTGTGGGCTTTTACTTTACTACAAACTTTATTTGATTTAAACAAAAAAAATAATGGTACTCAAACTTTATCCTGTGTTACAAGGTTAGTGAACCGTAGGTGCGTTAGTTCTCTCAGTATGTCAATCAGTATCAGTGAAATGCCCGAGAACATGCATGCATATGTATATGGAGGTACGGACAGCTGTTTACTGTCCAGTGGCAAATTAAATGCATATACGATAATGTGGTATGAATATAGACCCTGCCTAGTACTAGACTGACACGCTGAGCCAGATTTTGAAAGGTGCTATTTCACAAGGTATCAGTCCTAAGGGAAACATGTCAACCAACCCAGACACATTAATTAGGCTCTGAGCAGATCAGTATTTGCTCTTATACCTGGAGAAGTAACCGTTACGTAGATGCTGAGGGTACGAGGGTACATTAGTACTGGGCAAAATACAACCTTGACCTTTAATATCTAATTCCCCATGAGGTTTAATTCAGAAATGTAGAAAAAACTTTGCCAAAAAAAAAAAGACTGTTAAAAGAACTTAAAGTTCATCGCGAACAACAGTTCAGAAAATAACTGTTCACAATTGCTCTATAAACACACATATGTTCCATCTGTAATGTACACGATCCAATCCTTCATTTCTCATTATAAATGAATGCAACTTATATGATCACATGGTGTTCACTTGTCACAGAAGTTCTTAGTTCTTAACATTTTAAAACAGAAGCTAGAACATCCCTATAATGAAACAGAATTTTATGGTTTCTTGTTTTTCCATTTTTTTCATTTCTTTGGAATGTTTTAGCCAGAGTTTTCTTAATTAAAATACAATACAATCAATCCAGTATAGAAACATTTATATACAATAAAGTAATATTATCAGACTGGGTTTCATCTTTGGTGTAAAACGTATTACTATCATATTCATAGGCATTCATTTCTAAAAGCTACAGTTTTGATTTCCTGCTTTTCAATATGCAACTTTTTATTAGATTAAAAAGAAAAAAAACACACAACTAACAGTTTATTTCATAAAGCAATTAACTGTAAATTACTGTAAATTCAAAAATAGTTGCGATGTTTTTATTCATTACAAAAATTGCGACAGGATATGTTTCGTACAAATAAAATTCATATTTTAAATTTCCATAGCCATTACATAATGTATTTGTATGCAGCATTTCCTGAAATCGCAATAAATAAACTGACGTTTGTGTCCATTCGTCAACAATAGTAATGAATAATGCATGCAAACATTTTTGAATTAACAATAGTTTGGACAGATAAGAAATAATATCACAGACTAATTTTGATAACACAAATTGTCCTTTATACTATTTTGTACTAGTCACCAACCATTCTTAAAAAAATAATTTGTTAAAGAAGGGAAGTGAAAAAAAAGTTTGTTTCAATTTAAAATTTGGAAAAGAAATAAATTCAACAATAGGTTTCAAATAAAATTTTGTTTTCCTGTATATTAATGAAAAAATAGTTTGTTTTTCATTGTAGTCCCCCAAGAAGGTCTGCATGTCCCCAGAAAAACACCCATGCCTCTCCATACCTTCATAAAAGATGAATGGTCTGTGCCATACATAAGGAATTAGATTCTCTGGTCCAGCACCCTTGGTCATAAAACTTTACTTTGCCAGTACTCGAAGTACAAAATTTGTGCTTGAAACACCAAATCCAGTATTTTGATGGGTTGATTTCCGAGAATGAGTATGAAGATCATGCTTGTAATTTCTGAGGCCAGAATACACAAATGCATAGTCTACTTAAATTGCTATATAAAATGCAGCAGTTTTCTTATACCATTAAGGAATTTAAATATGTCACTTGTAACTAAATGAACAAGTTTAATTGACAGTTTATTTTACAGATTAAATCAAGTATAAGAATGTCACAAGCTGTTATTAGCTACATACTGAAATGCACACATGTAAGTAAGCAATGAAGGGTCATGAAGAGGACTTTTTAAAGGAAATTGAAAAATAAATAAAAAAAAAAAAGAAGAAAACTTGATGCTGCCTGGTAAGTTTTGTTTGTCTGGATGTCCATTTATGTAAAGCTACGTTAACAAAATGAAAAAACTTACTGGACAAACAAAAGTACCACATTTGGGGAAGGGGGGTGGGGGTATGATAAGACAATTTGTCTTATTTTGGTATATATATGATGTAATGGGGAAAAAGGAATACAACAAACTCTTCCTCCTCCTAAAAGATAACCTTTTTTTTGAAGCTATATTTATACAGAGAAAATTAAATTAAAATGAAACATATAAAAAGTTCCTACAAAACAATGAAATGCAAAAACATTTTAAAAACAATAGTTTTTAATAAACAAAAAGTTAATGGACGGAAAATAACCTAAACACTTTATTATAAATAGATAACTATCAAGCACATAAGTTGAACTAAAATCTTTATTTCTTGTCTTAAATGGACGGAAAAATTAAAAAAATTATTAACTAAATTATTGTCTAATCACATGACCATAAATAATGGTATTAATTCACATTAACTTAGTTTTTTACATAACAGAACATGTTTTTGAATCTTTTTCCCCTTTGTCTCTTCTGTCAGGAAGGGGCGGGGCTTGTTGGCGATCTAGTTGATCATGTCTGTGTTTCTCATACATTAATTTTTCTCTGAAAAAAAAATATATAATTAAGAATAAATGCAATAATTCACTGTTGATAATCTTATAGTAATCCATCAATATTTATTATATTCCCCCAAATTGCTATTTTCAATCAAAACTCATAATAATATTCTATCTATAACCCTTCATGAAATTATCTCTCATGCTTATACAAATCATTGAAGAAAGAAAACAAACAGTACATTGAACTATATTCAAATAACCTTGCATAAAATGAATGAACTAAATCTAAATTCTAATATGACGTCCTTCTTTCGCTTTGGAAACAAAGCCATGTTCTAATTACAATAAAATATGGGCTGCACATGATTGACGTCACAATTGAAATTGCAACGTCAGTTGTATTTTGAACAACGCCGGGGGTCGAAATGGACAGTTTTGTTGGTGTTGCTCGCTAGGAAATTAAATAAAATCATTCTAAAAGTAAGTTTATGTGTATATGTTAATTTTTTTATCGTTAAACTGTTGATTTTCTATAAAGTTTTCCGTTCATCAAATCAAAATGGCTGCCTTTTGAATGTGTATTATAGGTCCACTTCGAAGTACAAAAGTTCTAAATATTCCTATCAGAATCGAAATAATTCTATCATGCCATTCGCTAACGCTCGGTATAAAGATATTGACTAATATAATGCCTACCCATGTTAAAAAGAGCATAAAGCATGGCATGAAAGAATCATTTCTTAAATAAATTCTAGAATTTTGGAGAAAAATTAAGACAATAGCAAAAATATATGCTGGGGAAAGCATAACTACCGGTACTGTGGGAAAAAAACAAATGTATAGCAAACTGATTTATCTTAGTAAATATGGATCTGATGAAACAAAGATATGTGACAACTATGCAATGACTTTCCAACCTCAATTCATGAGTACTTTCACAGTAGTTTCATATTAACAGCATTAGAATATCTCAAGGGTTCATATGAAAGGAAATATGCTTCATGACACTCAGATTAATGATAAAATTAATTTCACACTGAAATAACAAGGCTAGATAACATGTAAGACAATTATTGATCTTTTGTGTTAGAAACAACTACACTGCTATACAAATTGTCAAATGCTAATGGCTTACAACATATAACTAAATTGAATGGAAACGAAGCACACAATCTCTTCATAAATAACTGACCAGAAAAGATTTTCCTTGCTTTAATTTTTGAAAAAAATCATTATTTATTAAGTGATAGTTTTCAAGCTTATCATGTATTCATATTCAATAAAGGGTTAACAAAATCTTTTTATATTGCATTAATTAAGAAATGAATGCTTCTTTTTGTAAATTTATTGGGGTGTTAAAGCATTGACCAAAGTACATAATATTTCCCCGCTTCATTCTAAAAATGTGCGCATGATCAAAGCCAACCGTATAAAATTACTAAAAGAAGCATTCAATACTTATAATTAAATTTTTTTGCTAGGATCATGAAAACACAATTTCTATCAAGTTTTTATTTTATTTACCTGTGCACTTTATTGTGGGAGCTCGTGTCATCATGAATGTTACATTTCATTTTGAAATGAAGGTTAATTTCAGAATGACACGAGATTGCTGTTAGCCAATCAAAATAACGTATTATAATGAAACATACATGTAATGTAATTATATGTAGATGAAGGTTTATATTTCAGGTTAAAATATTCCATAAATTATGTCTAGAATTGATCGCATAGAAACTAGAACAACAGTGCACATGCAGAAATATCTTGACTGCTTTTTTAATTATGATTGAATTTTATGTTGAAAGTCTTTTGAGATCAAGGTCTAGTACTATAAAATGTATAATGGAAATATTATAGGGGTCAATTCAGTAAATAAATATGCATCATCAGGGACGCCCATTTGGGGGAGAGAAGTCATTTTCTGATGGTAGATAATTTTTGCAATAAATATTTTTTTTTATAGATGGATCAAAACTAGGGTTGAAAAAAATAAAAAAATGAATGCTGAATGCACTTATTTTTTTACTACAGGGTTGAAAAGTAATGGGGTCAGTAAAGGAATTTAGTGCGAATCTACAGTGTTTGTAAACAAGGCCATGTGAAAGGCCCAAAAATGCCGCATGACCCTATGTTTTTATTGTTGCAAAAGATGGGGCTACACTTGTACTTTAATGAATGATATATGAAAGCTTCTGATTTCTAAAGGTAAACCAGGTAAAAATATAATTCAAGACATAGATTTGCATTAAAGTCAATGGGAGATTTTTTACTGAATTTACCCCTTTAAATGATTCATGAATAATAAAATCATAGTCAGATGAACCCTTCTAGGCAGGACTTGTAAGCATTGCAATCATTTTATACACCCAATATAATCAAACTATAACTTATAGTATCTGAGAAGCAGACCTTATCATGAAAACATAATTTTGACAAATAAACCATGACAATGAGGTCGAGGTCATATGAACCCTGTCAAAATTACATGAACACCTTATAATCATTTCAGACACTGAATATAGATGTCCTATTACTTATACATTACCAAAATGTTTAACTCTTTGATAGGATCTATTCTTTGGGTTTTGACCTTTTCTGAACAATTTCATTAGGTTGTGTAGAGTTTACATGATATTTTATGAGAGGGGATAATTACAAAAAACCTTTACATTACTACATTGCACAAATATGAGAACAAAATAAGCATAAAACAACCCAAAATTATGGTCAATAAAAATTGGAATCCTACTGAGAAATATTATATGTACATGCTTGACTCATCATAAACAAATAAAAGAATAAATGAATAATGTTTAATTATGCTATTAAAAGCTAAACTAAAAAAGGTTAATAAATAATTTCATTGAAAATATATGGATAACCTCTAATTCGATCAATTAACATATAAATCAGCTACATAACTAGCTGATACAACAGTACAAGTAAAAACAAAGGCTACAACCTCTAAATCATCTACAATGGAATAGACATGAACTGTTCCCATGTGAACTGATGTTACAGACAAAAACATTGCATGAATGATCTTCTCTATATATATATTAAGTCCCTAGACACACTATCTTACTTGATAAGAAAACATTTCAGTTATAACTTCTGTAACCAAACAATTAGGAATCCATGAAAATAAAACAACTTCTAAGCTTTTTGAATGATTACTTGTTACATTGTGTTTATAAAACACTTCTTTAATTTATATTTTCATGGACAATTGTTTTTGTTACCAGTTATGATAGGTTTGGCTTCAGTTTCTGATTGATTATAGTTCACTATACCATCTAACTTCCTTGCCTTCTCTGGGTTTGCAAATGTGATGCACAAAAAAAAGGGACCATGCCTGAGGACATCAAGTAGAAAGAACACATTTTTTTCCAGAATAACAAAATAGCAAAATACAATATCATTTAAAAAATAGATTTGACCACTTTATCTCATTTCTTTGCCCTAGACAGTTTAATTCTAAACACTTTATATGCATGCTAAACCTCAATCTTGTAATATTCCAACTCTCTCAAGTGTTTGATGTTGTGTAAGAATCCATATGTACTAGGACTAAACGGTTCTTGGTGCTAAAAGATTATACAAAATATACATGTACTGCAGATTTCATTTATAAACTGTAGAATCAAGCTTCTTACTAACTGTACTTTTTTCAAGTACCTTATAAAAATAATGACATTTCTATTTTTTGTGACTGTATATAATATAAAAGGTGGACTGGCTAAGAATTAAAATGATTAAAGTAAATGAAAAGTAGTTATCTACTAAACTTAAATCTATATAAATCAGTAAGCATTAACTTAGGATAAAATGGTATCAAAAGTTTGGTACTTTTTGTAGAAAACTTAAAAAATAAATTTTTGAGTTAGGGGTGCAGTAAAATTTTGTTGATGTATTACCAAAGATATACTGATGGAACACATTTTATGTGGTTTTACTATGGTTCAAATAAAATTTGATCTAAATATAAAAAAAAGAACTTTGCCTTTTGGTTTTAATTTAATGAGGAAGCTAGTCTGGAAAAATAAACTATAATGGGGCCAGCTGAAGGACGCCTCCGGGTGCGGGAGTTTCTCGCTGCATTGAAGACCCATTGGTGGCCTTCGGCTGTTGTCTGCTCTATAGTCGGGTTGTTGTCTCTTTGACACATTCCCCATTTCCATACTCAATTCTATAAGTTATTAATATGACACAACATTGCACATTACTATAAAAAGTATCAGTGGGAAAATATTTTACAAATTGTGGACCAGGTGACAAAATTGTCCAATCAAGATGACCAAGATGAAATGATAAATTGTGTAGATGATAACCATGCTTCAAAGTGTACAGTAAGTCAATCTAGTGCTTCAATGGAAAAAGATAAGGCCCAATGTTTATATCATGATAAAGCATGACTTGTATTGAATAAGGATTTTAAAGCTCACATGACCATTGGTGTTGCATGGATTCGATGCCATAAATGTATAGGATTAAAAAAAAAACCAGAAAAGAATGTGCAAAATATCATGATATCCTCATGTTCTTAAAGACAAGATAATGATTAACACTATAACCCTCTGATAACACAGAATGCAAAACATGAATGCACCCTCATAACCATTTAAAACACAGAATGTCAAACATGAACACAAACTTATATCCACTGATAAAATAAAACGAAAAAAATGTTCACAAACTCATAATTTCTGATAACACAGAATGAAAAACATGTCCACAAACTCATAACCTCAGATAACACTGAATAAAAAACAATTACACAACCTCATAACCTCTAATAACATAGAATGAAAATATGCACACAAACAAATAACCACTGATAACACAGAATGTTAAACATGTACACGACATCATAATATCAGATAACACAGAATGTAAAATATGTACACAAACTCATAACCTCTGATACCACAGAATGTGAAACATATACACCAAATCATAATATCAGATAACACAGAATGTAAAACAGGTACACAAACTCATAACCTCAGATAACACTGAATGAAAAACAATTACACAACC